TTGATGTTACACTTACAAAGTTTTGGCGTAATAAATTTAAGATGATATTCAGCGTGTATAAAGTACTTTTAATTTGTTTTACTGTATAAAGAGTTTAAAACCATATGAAATCCAAGAGGCACAGAACTGTGATATTGATATTTGTGATACTTGTGGTATTATTGATAAAATCACAATGCATTTACAAACAATTTTATTTTATTGTACGTTCTTTTGGGACACCCTGTATTGAGGCTCCCTGAGGATCAATAATTGCTTAATCATGTTAATTCCAAATGTCCACAAATTTCAAAGATGATCATAGGCTTTGTTTACATTAGACCGAAATTAAGTAAAACCGGAATGAAAATCGGAATTGGTTGGATGTTTACATGGGACCGGCACGAAATCACGACAAATCTAAATTCGCGTAATGCCTCTTTTGAAGACTAATTTTACGCTCGCTAGTCATTTTGCTTTTGTAATTTGCTTTGTGCGCATGTGTTGATGCCATTTCAGACCGGTCTGAACTTTAGGCTGGGTTTACACAGTAACGGATACGTTTTAATCCGGATAAAATCTGTGACCCTTCGTTTACACGGATCTGCTTGGATCCGTCCATGTTTTGTATCGCCCAAGTTGTACAATTTTGTACCTGAAAAATTGAGGTACATTTCTGTGCCGGTACAGTTCCATTCTATATCAGTTACAGTGTGAACGGTTTAACCAGATAGGTATTTTACCGTTTTCAGGTGTATTTGACTACGAGACAAAACAGTGTGTCAGTGCTCAATTAAGATTTTAACTTTTATACTGCATTTTCCAACATGAGAGAGATTCCTATGAGCATTTTTGCATTCATTTTTGGTGCTGTGGCGACGTTGAACGTTGTTTATGAACTGGCGTTGGTAAATTATCGAGGGCAAAGACGAAGGTAAAGGCTTGATAAACAGAAGATGAGCAATATGTCGTTCTTTGCATCTAAATTACAGCATGTGTTTTGAATTTACGGTAGAAAATAAATAATGCAGTATTGTAATCCATACATATTATGTTTAAATGTACAAAAATTACTAACTTGTACCCTCATGAGTTTGCTTCAGTTATTTTCAAAACGACGTTTAATACTCTTTTTTAAGTTATGCTACATTGCTGACACAGTCGTCCATCGTTACAGAGATGAAAATAAGAAGTAAAAGAAAGGCAAAAGGATGTTGGGTGAGACTTGGGAGAACATCTCTGTGGTGGGAAAATTTCTTTTCCGGTGCTGTAGTAGGTCGTGAATGGAGAGAGAACTTCAGGATGTCACAAGACAATTTCATGAAACTGTGAAACGAAATCATAATCCCATTTCAAAAGGAAGTCATGAATATGCAAGTTCCTACATCTGTTGAGAAGCAAGTTGCTATGACTTTATTCTATCTTGCTGATGAAGGAAGATTATGAAAAGTTGCAAATGCATTTGGCGTTTCTAGATCAACTGTATCGTTGGTTATTAGAAGAGCATGTTTTGAATATTGTATTAGGTCCTGAGTACATCAAATTACCTCAGACAGAACATAATGTTTTTGAAGCAGTCTCAAATTCTTATGAAAACCAAAGCTTTCCACAATGCATTGGTGCTGTAGAGGCATTCATATCTTCATCAAACAACCAGCCAACAATGCAAGTGATTTTAATGTGCAAGCTATTGCAGACTTCAAGTATTGTTTTCTAGATGTTGTGGTCAAATGGCCTGGGAGTGTGTATGATTCGAGGATATTTTGTAATTCAAAAGTAAATGAGATGTTAAGAGAAGGTGCAATTCCCAGCTTGCCAGAAGTCTTATTACCAGGCACTGAACCTGTTGGAATTTGCATTCTTGGAGATCCAGCATATCCTTTACTCCTTTACTTGATTAAAGAATCCCCTGGTGTGGCCGCGTAAAATTCTTTTCTTCTGACACAAACGGTTTTCTCCTCTTAGTAACGGTAAACCAGTGAGCTCAAACTTTTATTTTTCTTATATATGTACCGGTTCAGTGTAAACATAACAAATCCGTCACAAATTTCATCCGGATTAAAACGTATCCGTTACCATGTAAACGCAGCCTTAATTTGAGTTTACATTGATGCCGGTTTCAATTCATACCGCTCTGAACTCAGTCGGATCAGTTCAGCAGGAGGTTTGACTTCAGACTGCTCTGAGTCATTTTCGTAACGGTCCCATGTAAACATCTACTATAAATAATATTATGACCGACACGAGCTGGTAGCGGTTTGACTTTGTTCCGGTCTCATGTAAACAGGACCTTAGTTTTTTTAAATACCCTATTCAGGGTGTATAAAAGAATGAGCACGTTTAGAAATCAATGTACTGTTATAATTTTATTGCCAATCACTATATGCAAAGCACACTGGTGTATTAAGTACCTCGCGTTGATTAACATTTAATTGATTTAAATATATTGGTTAAGTAAGCAAATTGTAAGAAATCGGTTGTAACTTCATTTTGCTGTCCTAAACATACTTTATGTAATTTAATTTTTGTTTTGGATAACTGCTTAAATAAACATACTCTTCGAAGCGACAGAAACAATTTGGTATCTTAATATCCTTTCATTTAATAGCCGGACATTTTAAGTTAGCTATACAAAATAAGACAAATACTACCGGCTGAACGGCGATTCCATTCAAAGTATGTTTTTTTGTTTTAGCTATTTGTTAATGAATTTCTTTGGATTTGTCAACAACAACAGGTTCAATAACGAATAAATGCAAGCTTCTGACCTCAGAGATAATTGTTCTTTCATTGTCTTTCATGATGTAAATCCAACCATTTGTACACGGTGTCTTGTTCGAGTTATTCGTACCCTCAAACATATGGCAGCTATCGCGTTCTTTGTTGTTACTTTGAGTGTTGAATGGTATAAAATCGCTGACATTTTTATTAGCATCAAGCTTACAATGGTGCTCCGTCTTTGCTCCATAAAATATCATGGAGAAATGAGCAGATAACATAATCATTAAATTAACGCTTATCAAAGAGAACATAAACACTTGAAACTTCCCTGGATCTCCTATTGCTCGTATCAAATTCTCCATGTTGTATATGTTATTCTTTTAGCAAGCTTAAAGCAAATTTGCGAAGTGTCAGTGAACTGGAAGCTCAGTAGTGGCAGTGGTAAATGGTAAACAATACACGCTGCAATCAAACTTTATGACCCTGGCATACACGTGACTACGAACGTGGTGAAAACAGCACTCATGCAGCTCAGACAAACAAACCAAAGAAGTTACATAAGTATTATATTACATTAACGCACATGTGGAGAAGGTAAAGCGCTTTTTTTCTGTATTTTTATTTTGCGAACTAAAGAACAATGATCAAGCAGTAATAATAAATTGGTTTTGTATGTTTTAGTAAGAAACGGCTCTTAAATTTCCTTTGCATTTTCACGCGTGTCTACTAAGTTTGCCCCAATGATGCTTGGCTGCTCATTTTACTGCTCTGTGCTCGCTTTCAAGGGCGAAACTAGAACGGTAATTGGGGGTAAATATTCATATATTCAGCTCTGCCCTGCTGACTTCTTTTGAAACTTATATCGCAAACAAAAGAAATCAGCAGAGCTGAGCTGATTATATCAATATATACCCCCTCCCCCTATAATTAACGTTCTAGTTTCGCCCCTGTTTGCTTTAGCCAAGATATATGCTTGGGTTGGGGTTCTTGTAAAACAGTTTCTCGTTAGTCGTTACCCTGATCGCAAAACAACAATAATTATAAACCATGATTAACATCTCGATCAAAATTGACTTTTGACGACGGATTAGTATTTCTGCATAGGCTCAGTCGTATAAATTGTTTTAAATAGTTTTCCATTGCCTATTCGTTCTGTACGAAACTTGCAAAGACGTTTATTGACGATTTATTCTCGCTTTAAAGCGAGATACTTACTTGAAGCACAGCTCGAAAGTTCTACTTCAAACATTCGTACGAATATTTCAATGTCGTTTTCTAGTTCGCATACTTAAATGATAATTATCTGCCGGATTGGTCAATATTTTTTTTATTGTTATGTTAACCAATTAGATCATTTTTCGTTACTTCAAACATGCATAATTGCATAAATAAAGTAAATATGTCTGCTGTCTTTGATTTCCATCCGAAGGAAAAGCAAAGAGTATTTCGTCTTCAATCGATCAATCTTTAAGGGTAGCGAGAATTCATGTTAGATGAATCCCAAGCACATATCTCCACCGTAGTGAGCCGAGTCAAATGAGCCGGGCAAAATTGGACAGGAGACACGCTTGAAATGCAGTGCAAAAATTAATGAGACGTTTTTACGAACACATGGAAAACCGAGTTAACTTAACTGCGTGATAATTATGCTTTTTGTTTGTATGACAAAAATATGCGAAAAAAACACTTTTTTTGTCCACATGATCGCTAATATTATCATACTTTATATAACTTCTTCGATTTGTCATTTGCTTGTTCGAGTGAATTCAGTTTTTACTACGTGCGTGGATACGTGTATTGTGCTAGGTAAATTTATTGGCTATTTATGTACTGAGCTGCTTGTTTTTGGACTGTCAAAAAAAAACTATAGAGAATGCCAAATATCTCATTAAATCCTTCAATAAATTTAATGCTAACTTTAGAGCATTACTCTGAAGTTAGCATTAAATTTATGAGAGCTAACTTTAAGGCTAACTTTAATGAAAACGTCTGATGCTATTGTATGGCTTACAATTTTCACCACCGTTTGCCCTTTTTTTTTTAAAAATGTTTGGGAATAGACATGTCTATATGTTAGTTTTAAACAGCTGCGCACCAATTAGAATCATTTAGACTGAGCTGATAACTATTTTTGCATGATGAACTGTTCCCATTATCAAAACAAAAGCTATATTTTATCAAGTTTCTTCTCACTCCATTTGTTATATAATGCGTGTTGAAGAGGAACAAGATTCCCTTCCACGTTCGACAAATGAGACATTTTGTACAAAAGACTAAGCCTTCAAAACAGCTTTCAAATGCTGGATTCAAACTACGTCACTTTTAATCTGATTTTCTCCGCATCAATAATTACTTGCTTCAAATTTTATCATACCAAGGTTCACTGACCGAACGGCAATTCGTTCACCTTTCATGCAATAGTCGCTGAACTTTTTCTAGTCAGTAAAATACATCAACATTTACTCAATTTTGTTGTAAATTCTATTCTACATATTTCTGATTAGTCCAAAAGACCAGTAAATTCTTTCTAAATTTGGCAACTTTCAAAAACCTATTTTAATGATTATTAAAATGCAAATTATTTTTCCAATTGCAATTTCATTCACAAATTCGACTCCAGTAAATTATCCCTGTCCTTTGTCTTTTGTGATTGGTCTTTACAGTCATCCTCTCCTTTTTGTCCAAACCGTTCTGCTAGCACTTGCTGAAAAGTTTCTGGTAGAAATAACACTAAAATACTGCTGAACAGTAGTAGGATGCCGGTGATAATGTAAGGTATTACAATAGATGTCGTTTTACCCTACAATGGAAACACATACATTTCTGAGCTAAAAATATGTTTGATGTGTTTGCATAACATATAACTAAAATTGTTAAGTGTGGTTCTGATATGATCAACATTTTCATTTGATCAGTGTTGTCAGCTCTCTCACCCAATTATTTAAAACATGAAGTGAACTAATGAATCGATTTAAATCCTTATGCAAGCTTCTTCCCTCAGTAAAGCAAGCTAGCTGTGTGAAAAACAAAAATACGGTCATACGTACAACAAAGAAAAGTTGTGGAGCAACCATGGCACCAAGACGACACCAAAACATAGCCACCCCAAAACCAATATTCCTGAAAAAAATTTAAATGACGTATTTTTTAGTAAACCAATTTTGTTAGCATAACGCACGATTCTAGGAATCAGAATAGGCTGTTGGCATCCTGCTTTGAATCATTCAAAAACTGGCTACAAATGTTAAATAATAAATATGACGAAAGTAAATCATATTTAACTGTTCTTTTTTCACATTAGTGGACTATCGTAAATTATTTCAATGTTTATATGTGCCATTTTTAATTGATGAATTTATAATTGAGTTGAGATCTTTAGAAGTGAATCCAATGATGGCTTTAGGTTAAAATAAATAGGGAGGGCTGAGACTTAGCAATGCAGGCAAAGTGACGCCTTTTTGGCGGGGAGGGTTAAGATTACAAATATGTCTGTGTACAATTTCATCTTTGGAAATTCGCTGCCAATCTTTTAGTTTCTTACTGAACAATAGTGAAACAGAAAGATGCGAAAGTGATCTTCCAAGACTGGTGGAGGCAAACTGGGAGCAGATAGGAGTAAAACAGGGTAAAGGAGACACTAAGGCAATAAATTTGAGCAACCTTAAAACACTGAGTTGACAGCTAATAGATAGCTAAATGAAACTGATTTTTATTTTTCGTTTCACGTGCCCTTTTTCCTCACGTCGATAATCTTCTTTTACAATGAGAAGTATAACAATTACAGAAAATGAAATTTCAAAGAAACGATTTGACTATATGTGATTGCCTACGATCTGATAGCTATTTTGTTTAGCTTTCCCTAGTTTTATCTCAATGAACAGCTCAGCATCTTTTTGTAAAAATCATATATAAATATTGTTTTTAATACGATACCTGAGTATGGTAGGATAAAGCTCTGCTGTGTACAATATCATGACAATGATAAGAGTCCCTGAAAGAGATTTTCCTCCAAGCGCTGCAATCGTTCGAATCAAGTTTACATTTTTCGAATCTGAAAAATAAATCGTCTAAAAATCTGAAAATTATCCAAATGCATAAATCTAGATTTCAAGCTTTTCCTCCATATAATTAAACTTATTGCATAATCAAATCACGCATTATGTATTTGTTTAATCGACAATTTCTACTTGATCAACTTTTTTCGCTGAAACCTTTCCTTTAGTTTTGGAACCAGTTGTGCGCGTAAAAAAATTTATGGTCAAACATGCATTAAAAATAATCCATGATACACATTGCAAGTTACATTACGCCTTTCATGTATTAATTGTGGACAGATAGTTACATTTTCCAAGTGGAAAAATTCTTTTTCTTAATGTTTCTCTTGATGGTAATTGCTCGTGCTCCAAAAACAATTTTTTAGGCATAAACATATACCTGTTTGTATACATTACAACTAAATGTTGTCTAAACACATTACAACTAAAAACATCACACCTAAATCACACATCACAACTAAAAATAAAAGTATTTCACTTCACACTAATTCACAATGACAATACACATTTCCTCTACACACAATACAATGACGTAAGAACCAGATAACAAATACGGCTAACCTGATGTTTACTCCTCATTTGACTCTGAAGATGACTACCGCTAAGGTTGTCGAAACGTCAGTCAACAACAACAAAAACAGTCCTTCTCAGGACTATACCAACCTGGACGATCTACATTTACAAACATGTAACGATACTCCCGGGTTCAAACCATTTACTTCATAAACATATACGTTAATGGCTATACTACTTCTACTGTATACGAAGTAGAGTTACCTGTATTTGTACCAGCGATCAAAGCGCATGTTACCAAAGCAACAGTACAAAAAGCTAACATAACGAGCAATGGTTTTCGCCTTCCAAATCTGTACAAACAATATTTGCGAGGGAAAAATTGCTTATGAACATGATAAATACATAAAATCAAATGAAAATGCAATGTATAAAGATTAACAAGTAGATTATTTTATTCCGAAATGATGTAACATTCTAGTGCCGTTGTAACTATCACAAATCCAAATGAAACTAAATCTAAACAAAATTGGACCTAAAACATTAACCTTATATGTAAAAGGATAACATTTACGTGCCTTGTAGTAAAGCCTTACGGCATTTTGTCAAGCGCAAGGAACATGGGAAATTTTTTGGTCGAATGTAATAACATATCCAGTGCTAACATTTTTATGTATGACGCTATTAGTTCATAATCCAGTATATATACTGCTCTATTTTGACTTAAATTAACCCATCAGCATACTTATGACTTTATAGAAATTAATCACGATGCGGCACATCATCACCATATCAAAACATCATAAGGGGAATGCTTACCTTGGAAGGGACCATAACAGAGATGAAATCATCAATACGTCAAGGACTTGACCAAAAATAAAATTGAAATATTTGTTTCCAAACAGGAAAGAAATGTTAAAGGATAAACCATAGAAAGTAATCGTTATGCTGAACCTAAGGAACATGAACAAGAATAAATACTTCGTACAGTGTTAATTAGTTGATGCCACATGCCAGTAACAGATCCAGAAATACTCAAAGAAAATTACGTTAAATACATATAATTTTTTACCTAACAATGCTGCTGTTTTATGAATATTGAATACTAAAATTTAACCGATCGAACTGTTTAGAGGTATTTTATGCAACACACATTTATGTTTAATGCACTTACCAAACAACAGTCAAAATAAGAGATATCGTGCGCAAGGAAGGTTCCCTATAGACGTCGAGTATGCTGGCTGTATTTTTTGTTTTGAGAATGCTAATTTCTTTCTCTGATTGTTCTTTAACGTTTTGAAACGTCTCCTCTGGAAAATCGAGTCTATTTGCCTTTGTAATTCTGCGAACAACTCTTTCAGCTTTTCTAAAATGGCCATGTAACATGTTCCAACGTACTGACTCTGGTATAAACCTGAAAAGTTACGTTATAACTGTAAATGCAACATTATGTATGTCATGCAATAATAACAAGTGTAGCAGTGAAAACATTGCATGCGTAAATTCAAACACTTAAAAATTACTACAATCATTTTCTTTATTCTCATATTTATTGACCATGCAAGAATTTTCAGCATTAACCATGTTTTAAGAGTATAATAACACCAATGGAGTGGAGCACGTGTGCTGATTGGTCTGCTGCTGATTTTGCATTAGACTGTGCAAACCAATCTGCTCTCAAGCAATTTTATCAATCAAAGAGAATTTCCAAGTCAATCATAAATGCATGATAGAGTTGAAAAAATTAAAACTTTTGTTTTTAATTTATCTGTTTCGCATTACTGTTATTTTCTTATAATATGAATCCTGAATGTAAAAGATGTAATATAATAAAAAAGATGTTTCTCGTGTTTGCACTGGCTAATGAAAAAATTTGAGAGGTCCGCTCTGATATGCTTTTGCGTTCTGTCGAAGGTTTCTTTAAGTTGCATAAGCTTATGCAAGCACAGTAAACATCTTTTCTTTCTTAACTATCATACACATGTCATGAAGATAGACCTGGTTCTCTGCAACCAAAACGTGGTATTAAAGCAACTGTAAAAAATACTCATAAACCATAACCTACATGGTACTCACGAAGCGCAATCAGTGCTTGTAAGCGATAACATTACGACTCGTAAGCCCTTTAGGACATGCATGTTTTTGAACCATTAAACAGTACTTGTGAATCTTAAAACTTGGTGCTTTATACCATACCACATTACTTGCTAAACAAAATGCATGCTCGTGAATCATAACATAGTAATGGTTAACCATATCTCATTTCCATAAATTATAACTAGTATTTGTGAGCTCTGACATTGTACTCAAGACCTCAAATATGGTATTTGAGGACCATAATAGGGTATTTATGAACTACATCATAGTGCCTGTACAATACAGCTAGCTTATCATGAACCAGGCACTTGCATAGCATAATAATGTGAATTAGAAGACTTGAATAACTCTTGCAAGCTTAAATAAACTAATTTGATTTTGTTATTATTGTACTAATATTATACCATAAAGAAAACATCTGCATGAATGGTACAACAGATAGCACCAGTTGAAGATATCTCCAATCTTTGATGATGAAGGCAAGCACTCCCAAACAAAGGCCTCCAATATTGGCTATTAGACCACACAGTGCACCAATATGGCTGCGATATCTTGTCGGAAAAAGTTCCATAGCAAGAACTACACTGGAGCTCTGAAGACCCTGCATGGAGTAAAATCAAATCCATATGAATAATCTCTATATAGCAAAGCTAACTTTAGACTTTATTCATATTTTTTCATGGTTTGTGTTCATCTGGCATTCGTTCTCACGCTTTGCTCTTTAACAATTGTAATTACAAACAAGATCATGCTATGAGTTGATGTACACGATTCGCGTTGAAAATATTTTGTTTCAGGTTTGTGGAGCTTACTTATTCAAAAAGACGTCTGTGTCATTCCTTGTGAAAAAAGACGTATCCGGCTGTTTGCATTAAATAAACGTTATGTTAAAATCGCCAGCCATTAGTAGAAAACACGTGCAAATGACCAAAAACTTGTGCAAAACTAAAATCCTTTTTTAATTTACTCTAATAATAAATTATTAAAAAACTATTGCATTCAAGTCTCTGTCATTTTTCGCTGCGGCGTTTGGTCGGGGTAAATTCAACAATACATAAGGCCTGCAAAAATAGTTTTTACGCAGCATAATGTTGTTTCGTACCCCTGAGTCATCAACTTCAATAGGTCATTAGTTGTACCATGTCAGGCTGATTTCTTTCAAAAATGAAGTTTAGAAAGTAGCAACGCATTATCAACATATATGCATATAGTCCCCACCCTTAATTAAAATAACATTGGCAATAGTGATATTAGGGAACGTGTTGTTCACAGTTTCCATTTCTCATAATTTCAACAGCAAGAATTTCTGGAAAAAAAACTGTTTGTAAATTGGCTATCCCAGATTAATTTACCTAATTGGTTTTCTTTTCTCTTAGTCAAGGTAATGCATGGGAATTTCATAGTTACAAGACGATGCATAGAAATTACATAGTTATACCTGCATGTTCAGACCAAGAAAAAATCGAAAGATAGCGAAAGCAATATAATATCTGAATATAAAGATGGCGATGTTCAGTATTCCTGCCGCTAATAAAGTAAAAGCGATGACAGGTTTTCTGCCAAACTTGTCAGCAATGACACCAAAGAAGATTCCACCCAATGTAACACCAGTGAAATAAATTGTTGTAGACAAGTCCACTTTGTATGCATCATCACACACCAGGTCAAACTGTTTCAAATGATAACAACAAAAATTAGCGACGATTCAAAGTAGCTTAATTAAAATAATTTTGATTGGATGCGTCATAAGTCGGAGTCTTGTTGTAAAGTTTTGAGTGGTTTGTTAAGTCATTACAACAATAATTTCCATTGCCCAAACACCGACAACCTACTGAAGAACAAACCGATGTCATTTACAAAAAACCCTATAAGAGAATGCGATTGGAGTTTAATCGGTAAAACAGGCAGATGTTTCCAGACATGAAAGAAAGAGCACATGAGGAATGTCGAATTGGGACACATTCGGGGACTATGCATCGCTGTTCATGCTTGCGAAAATAACCATATCATTCAAATAAGTGCCATTTAAAATTTGCATGACTCAGCAGTAATTGATTGTCGATGAGTCAATTTGTATTATCATACTCTTGCGGTGATTAACAATTGATTAATTGATTTAATATATTGGTTAAGTTAGCAAATTGTAAGAAGTCGGTTGCAACTTCATCTTGCTGTTCTAAATAAATCCTATGTATATAAATTTGTGTTTTGGATAATTGTTCAAGTAAATTAAACATACTTTTCGTAAAGACAGGAACAATTTGCATAAAATCCTTTAATTTAGTGGCCGAACATTTTATTACACCTTTTGCCTTTCATTAAACAAACTTCGATTTTTGGTAACACAATGTCACAGCTTCAAAAACTTAAATTATAATTTAATTAAGCATTACGTGAAATAAAATATGCCTTAAATCATATTCTATAGTAACGATTTTGCAAGAAAACTGAAATTCGATAAAAATACAATAAGAATATATCGAACATTCAAAAATTGTGAATGTAATTACTTGTGAATACATGGAACTTTCATAGAGAGAAGAAGGGATGCTCAATAAAACCACTTTTTTCTGATTTTTATGTTAAACATTATGAAATTACAGCCGATTTAAGTTGAGCGTTGAAGGGAAATGCTTTTGTCACGTTCGTTGAAGCCGTTGAAAAGTGACGTTCCCTTGCACAGAGTACCATTGCTAACGTTTCAGATCTTGGAGATGAATTTCACGGGCTGTTATTTAAATTTCTTAAATGCATACTGACTCTGCTAAGAAAATAAGCTATATACTGTTGGCAAATCTGTAAAACGCTGCATTGACGAGTTTAAAAGTTAAATATCAACAACGTATTATCAAAAGCACATCGTTCCGTTTGATAGATAATAATAAAACACTTAGAACGTATATTTATGTCGCCTGTTTTCAATTGCTTTTGGCAGGTGTATGACTGATGACCTACTTTAAAAACACGCAGCCAAAGCTAAATGGGCATGCTATTGTTGTTCAAATGCGCAAAACTATGACATTTCTCAGAAAGTCGACCATTCTTTCGTCAATGCGAACTCCCGTAGTGTCTTCACATGTAATTGAATTTATAATTTTTGATTGTTTGATGTGTTTGTATTGAATTTCCACATTTGATTAACGAATTTCAGGTTTTATATACGATCGCTATAATTTTCGCTGTTGAATATGGAAATAAATGATGGATTATAACGATAGTGTATTCTTGAAGCTGCCACATTGTGTTAACGAAATTAGAGTTTTGCTAAATACAGGCAAATGTGTATACAGAATGACACATACACTAAATATGATTCTTTTGTTTTAGTTATTTGTTAATAAATTTGTTTGAATTTGTCAACAACTAGACTTTTAACAGACGACAGAATGCAAGCTTGCTAACCTCAGAGATAATTGTTCTTTCATTGTCTTTCATGATGTAAGTCCAACCATTTTTACACGGTATCCTTTTTGAGTTATTCATACTCTCAAACATTTGGCAGCTATCGCGTTCTTTGTTGTTACTTTCAGCGTTGAATGGTATAAAATCGCTGACATTTTCAGCAACATCAAGCTTACAGTGGTGCTCCGTCTTTGCTCCATAAAATATCATGGTGAAATGTGTAGATAACATTATCATTAAATTAACGCTTATCAAAGAGAAGATAAACACTTGCAACTTTCCTGGATTTCCCATCGCTCGTATCAAATTTTCCATGTTGTACATGTTGCTTTTTTAGCAAGCTAAAAGATAAGGATATGTGAAGTTCTTTGTTATGAAAGCACAGACTTAGCGTCCACATGCACGTAGCCGAATAAAAAAGTCTTTAATCTTCCTCACGTAGCCGGATATGAAAGTCTTTTCGATTGTCTAACGGAGCTGGATATGTCTTTGATTGTTTACAAGGTCTGCACGTTGCCGGACGTTAAGATCATCGACCGTCTGGACGAAGCCGGTTGTGAGAGTTTTTATCTTCCAGACGTAGTTAAATATTGTTTAAAGTAGATTTTATATTTATAATCTAGCTAGAGTTATGATTTATGAGTCTACTAAAGTCACTTAACCCTTTACTGCTGGAAGTTTTTGCCATGGATTTCCATCATGTTCATAGATTGTTGCTCTGAAGCAACATTGCGCAGTAAGGGTTGAGCAGCATATATCAAAAGCTATTTTGATTCCTTACTTAGAATACATAAACAGCAGTCATTTTAAATAAAATCTTACCGGGAAGAGAAGACATTAATGACTGGAGTTCAAAAGACTACCATGTACTTTTCGCGCGGGAAGATCAATAAATTGAAAATTAAATCCTGATTTCCTGCTAGGGACTATAATGTGTTGAGCTGGTGACAATATCTTCCTGCAAGTACCAATGATGTTCAATATAACCCTAGGTTATAAACTTGAATGGAAATATAATAAACCAAATTTTAAATTTGAGTGGTGAATGCTCCTTGATACGTAATATTTTATTAACAATCTCAACCTACAGTAGATTTAAAACTTCATGAATACACTACGAATCCACGTATAAGGTTTGAGAATTCTTGATATCATGCAAAAACTAATTTCATTGGAAAATATAAAAAGGAAATACCATATACTGATAATTCTATCATCATACAATGACAGTGCCGTCTCGCAAAACATTGAAATTATCGTTAGGTGACGTAATATTTTTTGACAACTCTAAACAAAAAATGTATTATGACAGAATTTTGCTTAAAAGTTATTGAGCAATGGCTTTTATAACATAACATGCTTAACATATGCGTGATGTTCACACCTGTCAAAAAGCTTCCAAATTTCGTGCCCTGTAACATGGTCGACAACAAACTTGAGCTTGTATAAAACAGTTTTGTCTGCAATTGATATGTTAAAAATGTACCTCTTTAAGAATGGTTTATTAAACTTTACACAAGTTGGATCTCAATTTACACAGGCTGAGACCGGACAACAACTTTTAAGGCCACTTTTCAAAAAATTACTTTAGTCTAGCTAGTGTTTTTAATATACAAAACAGAAAAAACACCATACCTGAAAAAACAAAACTGAAACGATTAAAACGATTTAGGATTTTACGAGAGGCTTGAGAATCAACTTTTAGCAGAGCAACCATGCAATATATTAAGAAATTACATGGTTGCCTCGGGATCTTATGTTATCACAGGGACGTTTATTGACGTATTTTCCTCAATTACAGGGATGAGGGATATTTAGTTCTAATTATCCCTCATCAATATATTCATCAGGAGCGTTTAGACTAAATATCCCTCATCAATAATAAAATAATACGCCTTGTTTTCACACTTTATTTTCATCATGTAGATATTGCTTAAGCTTACATCTTCACTTTTCCACTACTGAATCATTTACATTTCTGCTAAATGAAAAAGGTCAATAGCACGATGTCAGGTCCTTTGAAACTACAATACTTCGAGGGCAAGTTTACCAAGGCAAAAGTCTTCTTGCTCGACTGTTGTTACATCGTTATTTCTTTAGATTCAGACACGAGTAAATATTTCGCCCTATAGTTCAAAATCACCAAACGTGCGTTATTGTGAATGCCCTCGTTTTGTGTGATTATGTATGGAGACTATACATACATGGTGTATCAAAAAAAAACAAACTGGACAGATAGGAAAACTTTGCTAAAGTTGTCAGCGCATCAAATAATATTTATTTACAGAGCAATGTCGAAAGCAAATAAAAAAATTTATATAATGCCTAAAAATTAAAAGCTGCCTTAATGAAGAATGAAAATATTTAGTAGGTGAACACATATAACTTTTATCTAAATGAATTCAACCGATTTGCTACTTTTTATATGCTTTAAAGCTGAAAACTGACATCAAAAACAAATCACCTTTTCTCAATGTGTGGTTGCACAGACTTGTCGATAACATATTTAATACCATGGCTGCCTCAATTTCTATTTTTCTAGTAAGACAAAATAACAACGTGTTTAGCTGATTAGAACTCTCTTATTTATTTTTAAAAGTTGTATTACAAGTAATGTAATGTCTGTTATGACTTTTAAAGATGCAGTTTTTTCGTCTCACAAATCGAGAATCTTAGTGAATAAAGCGTATGGTTCATAAATTATTTTCCTTCTGTCCTATGGACAAAGAGCAATCTCGCAAATTAAGACGAAATTGAAATGTGAGTATTGAATAACGTAATAACGTACTAATAAAATTTTTGTGAACACTCATTAAATTATTAGTTAGCAAAAGCAAAACAAGGACGCTAGTTGAGGGTTGTGAATATTCATCTATTTACCTTTGACGATTGTATTTTTTTATATTTGAATTATCAGTATACAAATAAATTACGATTAAACCGATCATTGATTAGCTTTATTAGTTTGGATATTTTGTTCATGAATTGACCTCGTTCATATTTTATACTTAAAAGTGCACTTTGTGATAAAGAGAGCTGAGTGTTGTAAGCATTTATACTAGAGATTGTTTGAGATTTAACATCAACAAAAACTATAAAACATCTTACATGACAAATCATTTAAATGAGATAAGAACAAAGCAATATACATTTTATATTTCTACAGCAATCACAGAATCTAAACTGTTATTTGGTGCGTACAGTTTTTAGTTTATTATTCTAGCGAAGATTAATACTCCCTGAAGGATTAGAAACACTTTTCTTGTGATTCTGTTGGTCTTGGCCACATGGATCGTGTGTTGGCCAATTACCGTTGATGCTGCCATCAAAGAAATAATAAAAAGTACTGGCTGTCAGGTCGGGGCCAACAGAAAGCCATCGGATGGACGAAGGAACGATTTTATTACATGCAGAAGCAATTTTTTTTGATATTTTGACATGATATATCTCCATCTTTCTTTGTTACCAAATTTCCTGTTCCAGGTTGACAAACGATCCAATCATTAATATTTGACGTCACAGGAAACTCATTTCCTATGTCTTTTCATAGCTTCCAATCCACTGCTCCAAATGACGTTTTGTTGAGTGGAGAAGTCTTTGAAACTGGGACGGTAGCCCAACTAGCAGGCCAGCTAGGTCGGGGAGTTACAGCATTGCTAGCTGATGTAAAACTTTGGTAGTTTGTGAAGGTGTAACTATAAACTAGGGTCCAGCCTCCTCCCTGTGTCTCCATGTCGCAATACACTTCAAACGTCCGATTCGTTACGTCGATCCAGTAGACTCCAGATATTGCAGATGGGTATTTTGTTAAAATATCTTTGCATGACTTTCCTGTTTTAGATGGTAATTTATCTATAAAAACGACAAACAGCTGTTGAGATGCGTCTTAATAGGACGAGTAAAACATATGAAATCAAGAGCAAATTCAGGATACACATACTGTGACTGTTTTTGATTTAGTTGTTGCCTAAAGATTGCAATGGAAACTCTGAATAGTAAAATTCTTAGGGGTTGTTTATATGGAAGCCGAGCTGGCCCGCTTACCGACATAGCCCGTTTTTTTCATGTAAACACTCAAATGCCGGGCCAGCCTATTTGCCAAGCTAAATTTTAACTACATTACCAGAAATGTGGGAGATAATGGCGGATAAGAAAGCTATTTTTTTAAAATGGCGTCTGTTTTTTATTAGTAAAAGAGTGGTGAAAATTTTAAAGTTAAAATTAGACTTGCTAATATAGCAAATTACCAAGCTGCCACACTCAATAAATTTTGTAAAACTGCCAAACATCATAAATAACCTATAAATGATGATAGAAAACGAAGTTTGCATACTTCCCTTATATGTGACGAAAACGTTTATTTGCAGCTTGTGTTTTTATTGCGATTATATGAGTATCCCGAAAATCGTTAGCGAACTCAGGGAAATAGTTCCAAAAGAATACTTTTAGAATAGCTCCCCGATAGAATACTTCCAAAAGCTCTTAAACTTTCGATAAATTTGCTTGAGTAGAATAGTGAATAAGATTGTCGAGTATGAAAATTAATTTGTAGGGAGAACAATTTGTATCAAAAATCACATTAAAAATAAATAACTGTTTAAAGAGAGAACAGCACGAACGTTGTTTAACTGTTGTAGTGCTATTGTAAAGGCTATGAGATACAACAGTACATACCGCCATTTTCTCTCAACTTCTCCTTATCGGCATGTACCTAAAGTAAAAGATGCTAAAGTAATCAATGACTTGATATTACAGTCTTTAAAACTGTACAAACTGATCTTTAAAACCTTTCTCTGGGTATCAAACAATTCGTAAAAACACCATGTTTTATAATTGCATTTTTCATAGCTCTGTGGTCGTTTGCTGACCAATTGACAATTGACATTTTCCACCAATGTATCTTTTTGAAAGTTAATCCTAGCACACATTGGCTCTTGTAAACATTTCAATGAACATGAAAAGTGTGATGGGTACGTGGCTTCAAACAAGACATCTTGAATCAGTTTACATGTCCCTAAAAAATTTGTAAATACAATTGTATGAATATTGTCAATGGAAGTTATGGAACGTTGTGCAGCGAGCACTATATTTTTCACTGATTACATGAAGCCGGGTAGCCTGGATTCAGCCAAGCGTTAAATCATTTTGGCGAATGGAAAAGATTAAATACTTCACAACAAAAAAACTTATTTGAGCAATTTCTCTATGCTCTGACTTTCTAATTTCTTAAAACCTTTACAATGAAAACAAATAATTTAGCCTGATTTGAAGATTACAGCTAAAAAGACTTCACTGTAAAAACGGATAAGTTAAAAGGAAAATTGTTCACCTCAGAT